AGCAAACTCTTTTTTCTAAGCTCCAACGGACATATTCCTTCACACCCTTATAAACTCCTGTCCTTGGTCATTTTAACAATGAACAAGCACTCATAAACTCCCCCAATCTTGAGGTTATAATCCTCATTCATTTCTTCCTCAAATTAATATATTTTGAGAAAAAACTAATTGTTTTTCAAGAGAGTGTTCTTGTCATCCATAGAGCTTAATCTTTTCTCATTTCTACTCTTGTGGGAGTTATTGTTGTGAGGCTTAAGAAGGTTGTTCTTCTTATTGTATAAGACTTATGTGACTTAAGTCTTGATTGTGAAGTCTTGTAGAGGGCATATCTACGAGCGGTTGTGTCGAGGCTTGTGGGATTCAAGTTCTCGAGTTGTAAACGGTTTGTTAAGTACCCGTAAGTTTAACGGAAGTAGTGGTAGCTTCGAGAGAGTCTCTCGGGGAACTGGACTAGCCACGAGGTGGTGAACCAGTATACATCGGTGTGTTCTTTGCCTTCTCTCTTTTATTTCTGCTGCACTTTCGTTTATCTTTTTAAGCCTGCGAAAATCGGTAGACATTCTCAACAACTCTATTCACCCCTCCTCTAGAGTTGCACGCATTGTCTAACACCTATGCCCTTTTTTGTAGTAGTGAATGGAACACAAGAATTTTTCTCTCTCAAGGAATGATGGTGGCCGAAAATATTTTGAGAAAAATCCACACAATTAGCAAATGGTGTGTGTGGTTTAAATAAAGCATGATTAGCAATTGATTTTATCATTAGCTAAATGACAAATTAATTTAGCCACACAATAATCAATCAAGACATTATTTTCATTCTTTAAATCCTCATGGTGGCTGAAAATATTTATGAGAAGATATTGTCAAATTCCTCTCCACTTAAGTGTTCAAAGTGTATTTTATTTGTCACCAAAAATTAATATAAAATTATTTTTAAATCAAATAAAAAAATACCAATATCATTTTTAAACAAGTATATAATTATACTTTAAATAGTTCACATCAAAATAATTATTTTCATAATTAAAAGGACAAACCAAAATAAAATATTCAACATACACACACACAGATATATATATATATATATATATATATATACATACATACATACATACATATATATATATATATACATATATATATATACATATATATATATATATATATATGTATATATATATATATATATATATATGATGGAAGGGTTTGGAGAGAGAAGGGGAAACGCCGCCCACTGGCGGCGACTCAATTCCAATGAAGATAGGAGGGGAAGAGCACTGTACAGTAGGAAATCTCCAGGTTATGGGAATCGGCGACCTTGGTACTCTGAATCTTATCGTCCCAAGTTTTATCCTTCAGCTCACAAACCACAGAGAAGGTGGAGGAGACAGAGCTCAGGGCCTTTCAGTGTACGAAGCCGGTTAGATTTCTTTATCAATTGAAAGCAAAGATTTTGTGATCTCAGCAGACGACGGGCAGTGCATCAGTATTTCCGAATCAAAATCCGATAAGATCCGTCTTCTATCTATTTCAAGGATTTTAGCCACACGTTTGATCGACATCCTAAGAAGGCCGGATTACACAGAAGAATCTTGGGAAATCACTTGTTATGATGGAGATTCTTCCCTCAAAGTGGTATGGGAATCAAACAGGTTTGGACATTATGTTAGACTTTCTAATAAAGGGAGCTCTCACATTTTCATACTTGTTGGTTTCAACTTATCTGGAATTAGGCTCTTTAGCAAAGGTTTAGCTCAATTTCATAGGGAATCAGAAGATAGGATTTTGGAGAGTAGCCAACCACCACTTCTAAATGGAACTACTAGAATATCCGGGAATGCTAAAATAGACACGGATGAAGGGTGGAGATGCGTGCAAAGTGAGAGGCTCTATGGCAGAGAAGAGGAAGGACAGACGGAATCTGCAAACAAGGTTTTCATGGATTCAGCACTAAAATTGGAGTTCGAAAGAACTCAATCACACTCCACAGATGGAAAAATAGACCAGGAGAGTATGAAGCAGTTTGATCAAGTAATTAAGGACAACCTCAACCTCTTCCGGAAATCCATGGCTAACACAAAGTTCTTACATGCTCTAAACAAGGGACAAATACTCGGTTACTCAGAGGATGTTGTTCGGGTAACTAGAGAGACAATGAAGAGCTTTGAATACATAGATGCGGCAGTAGTTCAAGGAGCGAAATACCCGGTCTACCTTGCTTATGCCAACGAGGATATGGTAGCCGTTCTCAATCATCTATGTGGAATGCAGGAATGACTTACTCACAATATGGGCAAGGATTCATTTCTTCTGCTTTTCAGCTTATCTCGGTTTACTTGGTTCTTTTCCGGTTCTTAGTCTTTGTTTATTCTTCTTAATTCAATGTCGGGTTCTTTTGATTGACTTAACCCTACTTTTGATTGGGCTATAGAATATCCTATAGGCTCATTAACTTGCAAATAGTTTGAAGGCAAGAAGGATTCATAGTCTGGTGGTGCTGGGTTTTGCTGCAACAAGGTGAATATTCTGGCTTGTTTACTAGTCAGTCAGCATAACTGGGCTTTCTCTATTCCATTTTGCTCGTAGGGGAGAAGGATTTCCCTATGCCTAGATGGAGTTACCAGATTAGGGAGGGAATAGATTATGGTGTGTCTTAATTTGAGGTCAAACTTATGGGTTAAAGGGACCTCTAAGCTCACGATAAGGCATATGGAGCCCATTTCAGCCTCTTGACACATAGCCTTTGTAGTTCTCTTTTGTATGCAACGAGAGCATGCTGGTAGGGACGCATCACTTCATTCTCCAGCCAGACCAGGATACCAAGTAACTAAGGACAAACAGCTTTTACTCTCATTAGGAGCTGGCATTTTATTGTATTTCTTCTCTTGTTGTTTCACTTATGGCGTTTTTGGATCTGGCAGTTTTGTGTATATCCTCCTTTCGGCCTTTTTGTTGGGGCTGCTGGCCACCCCCACCTTGTATCCTTTTCTTTTTTAATAAAATTTCCTTTTCAATATATATATATATATATATATATATATATATATATATATATATATATATATATATAACTGTATTTATGTATATAAATATATTACCGAATGTTCTACATATATATAATATTATATTCCAAAATATTTTATTTTACAATTTTTCCAAATATACAAGTTACTTATTATCCCATTATTTAATCATACTCTTTAAATTGTCCAAAGTGTGTGACCCGTATAGGCACTTATAAAGCTGGTCAGAGTATTGGCTCTGCACTAATACGAAAAGCAATAAGCGGTATCTAGCAACACATTATTGCCCACAGATTATAAGTTAAGATGTTTGCACCGTCAAAACCATTCTACGACTCAGACTCCGTGTAACTGTATCCCTTTGTCTCAATGTCTAGACTTAATGCAAGGGATTAATAAAACCTAGCTTGTATCCATTAATTAATTTATTGATTTATCAAGTCTGACTGATAGGATGAGACGTCATAAAAACATCTCAGCATGGCCATGCAATTTCCTCAGTCATAACTTATTAGTGGCCCCCATAAGACATTAATCTCTTAAAAGAGTAGTGACAAATCCTATGTATGTAATCTACGTTTCTGAATACGTGCTGCGGCATACTCAAAACGAAGCTTGTATATCATCCTTATTTTATATGGCTTAGGACAATGCATCAAAGCATGCAGGTTCACATATGCAGAAAACATAATACTTCAAGTCGAAGGATAGTTACACCCGTGGTCGCGCTAAAGATGCTTAGATCATGAACTAAAAGTTCAAGAAACATCTTTAGGATGGGTCTGTCCGGCAACCTATTATCTCCAGATCATATCTGCCCATGTGCGGATGCGAACACACCGTCATTGACTATGAGACTAAGTCAAACATCTAACACACACTAGTTTCACATGCATTAACGATATCCTACTCTCGTTAATACTCGACTATGGACATTAAGACAAATATTTATTTCAAGATACACTACTACAAAAACGACCAAATAAATCACCCCATTTGTATCGGTCAGCAAAACAAACGTTTTAAATTGTAAAAAAAATTAGCGTACCGATTAGCGTTTGAAACAGTTTATTCCAAATAACCGATTCAAATACTCATTTGAATCGGTTATTAGGAATAACCGATTCAAATGCTTACTGGCTTTTTGGAGCTGTTCTTGAAATGTTTTTCTCACTTAGGTAGTGAATGTATTTCTTTCTCATTGTTGTGTCATTTTTTGGTTTGACGTTTCCTAAATGTGTTCTTCGGGTGCACATGTATTTACATTACATCGTGCACTTGGAGAACCATTGGGAAATGCTGCCAAAATTTTGATAGGTCAAAGAAAATGAAATACATTTACTAATGGGGGTGACATTTCAAGAATGGGTTACGATGGTGTCGAAGGATACACCCGTGGTCGCGCTAAAGATGCTTAGAGCATGAACTAAAAGTTCAAGCAACATCTTTAGGATGGGTCAGTCCTTGACCATCCTATTATCTCCAGATAATATCTTCCCATGCGCGGATGCGAACACACCGTCATTGACTATGAGACTAAGTCAAACATTCAACACACACTAGTCTCACATGCATTAACCATATCCTACTCTCGTTAATACTCGACTATGGACATTCAGATAAATATTTATTTCAAGATACACTACTACAAAAACGACCAAATAAATCACCCCATTTGTATCGGTCAGCAAAACAAACGATTTAAATTGTAAAAAAAATTAGCGTACCGATTAGCGTTTGAACCAGTTTATTCCCAATAACCGATTCAAATAATCATTTGAATCGGTTATTAGGAATAACCGATTCAAATGCTTACTCGCTTTTTGGAGCTGTTCTTGAAATGTTTTTCTCACTTAGGTAGTGAATGTATTTCTTTTTCATTGTTGTGTCATTTTTTGGTTTGACGTTTCCTAAATGTGTTCTTCGGGTGCACATGTATTTACATTACATCGTGCACTTGGAGAACCATTGGGAAATGCTGCCAAAATTTTGATAGGTCAAAGAAAATGAAATACATTTACTAATGGGGGTGACATTTCAAGAATGGGTTACGATGGTGTCAAGAAGGACCATTTGTATAATGAAGAAGTGCTTTCGGATTTTTTTCTATATATATAGATCATTTTAATTTAATTCATTATTGTTTCTTTTTTATTATACTTATGTGATGGACAATAAACCCACCAAATGATTCGATTCAGAAGAACAGATCATAAGAAATGAATTAAGGATAAGAACTAGAGAAATATGTGTATTTTATTAGCTTGATTTAGCTTGAGTTTTCCCTCTCGGGGTCCCTTCTATTTATACATGGATTCTAGACAATTAAGGTAATACATAACCAACGGGTGTCCGTTCCGTCATTGGCGCGATCCACTTTTTCCGGCTTCGTCATTGCCATTCGGCTCCGTCTTCTCCTCTGGGTTGGCTCCGCCAGCTGTTACTGGGCTGGAGTTGATCGGGCTTCATCTCGTGGGCCGACCCAGGCCTAAGTATTTCCTGTGCGCTTGGCCCAAAGTCTATTAAATGGTTCAGTTGGGCCACCCGCTGGATATCGGCCCATCACAAGCCCCCCAACTCCTCATTCCTCATCTGGGCCACGTTGAGGGATGGGGAGTTTACGAGGTCCACGTGAGCGCTCCAGCGCGGATCCGGGCCGTTCCTTGGGTTTCGCGTGACGTTTGGGCACGATCTCCACGAAGATGTAATCATAGCCTGCTGCTTCGCCTTCCCCTTGTCAGCTAAAACCGCCGCTAGACGCCATCTTCTTCTTTTACCTTCTCCATCACCATCCGTTCGTGATTCTGCTATTACCCGACCCGTTTTGCTTCTGCTGCAATTTAGTTTCCTCTCTCACCACCATGATTGTTTCTGATTCTGATTCAGCTTCCACATCGTCCAATTCTCGTCATGCCGATCAATCGGCCTCTGGCCGTGACCTAAGCCAGACTCAATCGTCCCATTCGTCACCGCCGGCCATGCCCGGCCAAAAGCTACGCCAATTGAGGAAGCAATTTCCTTCCTCGACCCCAGCACGGCGGGGCTCGAGGGTTAAGCTGGACGAGAGCATCATGGCACTGTGCCATTGCCAAGTTACTAACCGGGGGTTCGCCGATGTTGTTGGACCCTCTATTGAGGTTCCAAGGCCTAGTAGCACCCAGACCGCCCTAGACGCTCTGTCGGGGTTCTTTACAGTCCATTTGGCATCCTTGATGAAGGGGCTGTAATTTCCTCTCCACCCGCTGTTGATTGAATTCCTCAACGAGGTGGACCTCTTCCACTGTCAGTTGGTTCCCAATTCCCACCAGTACATTGCCGGTTATCTAATCAGATGCAAGGATATAGGGGTGAAACCTACTCTCGACCACTTCCTGTTCACTTTCAAGCTGACCAAGGGTCACAAGCATTGGGTGTCCTATGCGAGTCTTTCCCAAAGGTCCAGCAAACTTTTTACCAACGAAGAGAAGGGGTCGACTAAAGACTGGAAGCCCTTCTTTGTCTTTGTCTCGACGGGGCATGAATCTCCTTTCACGGGTTCAGGGCTCCCTTCTTTCCGTCGCATCCCATGTCCCCCATCTAACGCCACCCTCTTGTCCATGACCCACCAACTCTGCGGCCGAGGGGCCGTCAATATTAATGAGGTGGTGACCGAGGAGTCTCTTGCCAAGATGGGGTTTGAGTTCGTCCAAGACGAACTTCGTCACCAACCTGAGCTGTTGAGGGATGTTCACGGGGGCAGTCAGCCCGACCTGCCCAGGGGGGCTCCTGAGGGAGGCCTGGACTGTGGTCCTTTTGGTAATTTCCTTTTGTTCATGTCTAGGGTTTTAGTTGGGAGACTAACCATTTCCCTTGCTTTCAGTTGAGCCACAAGGATTAGATGGAGAGATGGATAGTGACCTCTTGCTCGGTCGCTTCATGGCTGGGAAGAACCGGAAGAGAGATGCCACCAAGCAGAGCAAGAGCAAACGCTCTTCCTCCCGCGGAGAAGGTAGTCCATCTCGTGAGCCGGCTGTGATCGTGGTGGAGGACTAGGACGACGCGGCTCAGGAGATGGGTACAATAGCGATCCACTCCCCCCCGCGCTCTCTGATACCGGGGGGCGACCTGGCCGGGTCATCCCAGGCTGTTACATCGGAGCGACCTCCTTCGTCGCCCGCAGTGACCTATGAGGTGGTGACCGAGGGTCGCTCGATGAGGTTCAACATTCCTCCCCCATCCCCAAGTCTAGGGGACGTGCAGCTGGAGACCTTCATCACCCTGCCTGCACAAGATCGGGCCCGCATCTCGGCCGGTTCTGAGGATGACCTCAACAGCATGATTCTCCTAAGGCTTAGCCAGGTATTTGCCTTAATTTTCTTTTCAGCACTCCTCCTCCTTACACTCCGAACCTTTATGCCTTGGTACAGGCCACGCTAGGGATGATTCAGGTCGTCAGTCGGAAGCGAGACCGCCAAGCTGCCTTGGATGAAGCGATGAAGGCAGCGGAAGCTAGGCAGAAGGAGTTGTAGGAGGAGGTTGCTCGCCTTATGAGGGAGTTGGATGGGAAAGAGGTCTGTTGTGCCGTCCTTGAGGCGGAGAAGGCCTCCTTGTCTTCGGAGGTGGAATCCGTTTCCGCTCGCGTGGTCGAGTTGGAGGGGGAGAAAACTGATTTGATACAGCAGTTGGAGGTGGAGAGGAGCGACCGGGTCCATCATGTGGAGGAAGCGATCGAGTCCTTCAAGTCTTCTCCTGACTTTTCCATGGTCGCTATGGAGCGGATGGACAAGCTGACGACCGAATGGCTCAAAACTGATCCCGGGGCCCAATGGATGGTCAAGGAGGGGACAAAGTCCTTCAACTGCGGGCTCTTTCGCGCTCAGCAAGTCTTCTGCGACAAGCTAGCTCGGCTCCCCAAAGGATTCTCTCTCCCCGTCCTCGGCTTTCCTCCTCCTTGCCGCGCCTTGGCTGAGTTCGACCCTAGTCCTTATTTAGACGGGGGGAGCTCAAGTGCCTCCGACGAAGAAGAAGAAGAAGAGGCTGATCTGCGCGACCAAGGTGAACTGGACGACCAGAACCCGGGGGCTAGCTTAGCAACGTCCAAGGCAGGTGGAGATGCCGGCTCGAGCATCTAAACTCCCCTGTCTCCCCTCTTCTCGTTGCTTTTATACTGCCCTTCAGCAATGTAAAGATTTATGATTTTTCAGAATGCCTTGGTGTTTTGATGTAGTATTCTCATGTAGGATGTGATGTTTGACTCGTTTTTGTCCATCATGCGCTTTCCTCCTTCTGCACTTAATTGCTATGCTCCTTAATTTAGTTTAGCTCACTAACATGGATGGGTTTTTTTTTGTTCGGGCCCAACTTTTGACCCTGGTCCAACTGCATGTCCAGGCCCAGTTTCGGGATTGGCTAGCATGCCGCCCAACTCACCCACTACCCTTCACAGTCTTTGATTGGACCCTCCCGTGGCTCAAAGTTACTTTATCGATTCAGCTGCTTTGAGACTCATCCGCCCCTTCGGTTCCTTCGCCCAGTGCTATTTATAGCCCCCCAGTCTTTACTTAGTTCCATCATCAAATACTTTCCTCTCCTCCGTTTTTGTCATGTCTGAAGGAATCCCCACTTCTCTGAATCTCTCCGACGGGCCGGCTCCTTCCTTGCCGGAACCTGCCTCTTCCCCCAAATCAGTTAACTCCAACGACGGGGGGGGGCTAGACCCCTACGAATTCTGCGGCCGGTTGCCCCGCCGGCAATGGCCCTCGGTTAAACCACTACCGACATCGCCAAATCCCTATGATGATTTCAGCGAGGCGTACAAGGCTCTTTCAGCCAACCGTCTGCCCGATGGGCGAATTGACTGTGACGCCCCATGCCTGTTGGGAAACGAGGCTTGGATAACGCAGCGGAAAACAAAAATTTATAGTCCAAAACTCGATTCCACCCAAGAACAACTTACGTAAATTACTAGCTATAGTAAGAAATTTACCTTAACGGTGAAAACGGAGAACGGAGGAACGGTCGAGGATGGTTTTGAGGAGATGAACGTAGCGCCAAACGTATGAAGCCTCCAACGTATCCACACGAACTTGCTCCGGAGACAAAGATTAAACTTGTGCTAGCAAGTTTAATATAGGATAGTAAAAACTATAATAATACTACTTTGGGAGTAATAAATATATAGTAAAATATTTATCTTATAAATATTTCTTTATAATATTTTTTGTATATTTCTAACACTTTAGAAAAATAACTTGCAACACAAAATAATAATTTTCTCCTCTCTCTCTCTATGGCCGAAAATCACACTTAAAAATGGTGAGGGATTTTTCTCATTTTATAACATAATACATTAAGGAATTTCTAGGAACTTGCTTTGGGACAAAACAAAATGAGATTAGTGTAATGTCCCCAACCAACACAACAAGACAAGTATACTTTTGTTAATCAAATATTTGATTATAAAATCAAATATATCATTAGGTGGAATATCAAAATATGTTTTGTATTTTTCCCCTTAGAATTTCAGCCATAGCATGTTAAAATACATTACTTTTTTTTTACATCAATAATTATCATATATATAAAATGATGAAAATAAAAGTAATATATATATATATATATATATATATAATAAAATTTGTTTTGTCAAAATATAATTATCATATAATTAAAATGACACAAACAAAATATAATTTTAAAATACATATGTATTTTCGAAATACATATATATATATATATATAATTACCATAACTATATATTTAATATTACTCCCACTAGTGTAGTATACTACTCCCTTACAAGTCCTAAGTGTGTGACCCTTTAGATATCCATAACACTGGCAATGATATTAATAAAATTAATACCATAGATAATAAGTGGTATCTAGCAACACATTATTATCCCCAGATTATGAAAAAGACGTTCATCTCATCAATACCTTCTACGACACAAGACGTTCTATAACTATTATCCTTCTGTCCTAAATGTCATGATTTAACACAAGGCATGGGATGTGTATCCTTGTATAGTTAAATCAACTGTTACTGAATCTCAAGTAGACTCGCAGGGATCAGATATTTATCAGTCTCTAGATAGCGACATATCTGGGCATGGCCATGCACTTTCCCAAGTCCTACTATTTAGTGGGCCCATTGACATTATACTTCTATACAATAGAAGGGACAGATCCTGTATCTGTTATTCACATCTCTAAATATGCTTAGCGGCATACCCAACGCATAACTGTACGTCTACCAGTATTTCAAATAGCATTAGTTATGAATCAAAGCATACGGCCCCACATATCAGAGAATGTAATAACTTCAAGTCTGAGGATAGTTATAGCAAGGTCGATTTGAGAATACTGATATACACATTACTGTAGATCCAAGCAGTATTCTAAAGATGGGTCAATCCAGTCACATATTATCGATATAATATGCTCCTACGTACAGATTAAGATATCACAATACTATAGTCTATGAGACGCAACTATCTCATCTCGTACGTACTAGTCTTGATACGTTAT